AATGAATGGTGAGCGAATGCAGTGAGAAACTTTGACTGAGTTGTTTAGGATAAAAGAATATATTACAATTTTGAAAACAGTTCAAAGGTCATGCCACTGTGCTCGCTCTCCATGAATGTGATGTGTGTAAAATAGTTTTGTGTGTTCAAACCCGAGCGAGCTGTTGCTAGAGAACTCCACACTCGGGTTATGTGTGACCTGAGTGAGTTGTTGCTAGGATCGATCTCCACACTCAGGTATGTGTGCACCTGAGTCAGTTGTTACTATGAGAGATCTCCACACTCGGGTTGTTTACAGGATCCCAAAGAGGGCAACTGTTTGTATGGAACTCGACACTGCATTAATTGTGTTTTTTGAAGAGTGGATGTCCAATGGGATAATGTGTATTGTACCAACTAGCAGGTAACAAAGTTGACAGTGAAAATATGCCCTCTGCCAGTGTGTATTTTACTAAAGCCCTTGTGCACATTTTTATGTGCAGAACTGTCACTGACCTGTTAGTGGGTACCTAATAACATCCACTCTTCACGGTGGATTCACACTGCCAGGACAGAACCATACAAACTCATACAGTAAACCCTGGCACGGATAACTTTCTATATAGGCCAACTATTTTTGCGGTGTGAATCCACTCGTGAGTGACGACATTGTGGGGCAGTCATCTCTGTGTATGTATGAATTGAGACTGTCCCATGATGGGCCTTCAACCTCCTCGTGGTGTCACTTGGGAGGAAGTTGCACACAGTTTGCAACTCCCTGCGAATAGAAGGCAAAACAAGAACATGTGTGATGTGTGTTATTAACCCTCGGCGCGCATGCGCAGCGACGGTACAGTACTTGGGTCTGTCTGTCTGTCTGTCTGTCTGTCTGTTTGTTTGTCTGTTAGTCTACATCTCACTCCTCGAACGTCTGTTCGTCCCAGAAACGATACCATCTACCCAACGGGCGACGAAGGTCAGAAACTAAAGGCGGTTTTCTCTGAAAATGCTCCGTTGCAAAGCTAGAGCACGAAAAAGCCAATATGCACGTACGTAACGGGATGGCTTACCGCGGTCTGATCGATCCGCGTGCTCTGCGTATATACCTCGGAGGCACCAAAAGATGAAACGCAGGGCGTGTATCGCCTCTCGCATGCTGTAGTTAGCCCGCGTCAGACTCTGCGCGAGCTGGCAAAGACCACGAGTAACGGCTAAAACTAAACCCAGCCCATCGATTAGTGATACAGCCATGCGTTTATTTACGCGTGCGCGTCACAATGCGCCGAGGGTTTGCACCTCAGTGCTTTTCATTTCTCACTGTGCTCATTACCTTGCAACCTTTCCTATCATGCTGATTTGCCTAGTGTCTGGAGGAAGCCACCTTCGTAACAGTCTGTGGAGACACACATTACAGGGTGATGCCTGTGTAACAAACAGTTGCATGCCCCGAACATCATCAGTATGTGTAGACGTTGCTACTCACCTCTACGGTACTCACATTTCACCCCTTCACAAATGCCACTGGTATACGAGTGTCAGCGACAGATTCACGCAATGAAGCAGCTTATATACTCCTTGCACTGTGTTCACTACAGCAGCAAAAGCAGAGCTGTAGGGCCCTTGATGTGGTATGAGCATGCTCGCATAACCATTTCAGTAAGCAGTACTTACAAATGTGGTGCCCCATGAAAATTGCAATAGGTCAGACTGTGTTCCAATTGTAGTCTGTGTCCAACTTCCTGTGCTCTCCAACTATCACTGACATACGTACCTATACTCACTTCAGTTTTTGTTTTAATACCATGTTTCTGTGTTATTCTTCCTATCTACTTTTCTCTATTTTCTATTTTGAGACTTTCTGAAGTCTTCCAAGAAGGGCTACAGTACCTATTGTCTACATTTGGGATCTCAGTTGTTTGGTGAGTGTGCTTTTTGTGTGTATCACATCGCAATATACCAACACACACACACACACAATATATAGCTCAATTGGTAGAGCGCTCTCCTAGACTGCAGGCAGAATGTCGTCGGTTCAAATCCCACCTACGGCAGCTCCATTTTTCCTTGGGAAAAAAAGCTGTCAAAGAGGAAGGTGATGAGATGGCCAAGTGTGATTCCTGCCACATCTGGTATCACCGCCACTGCATGGACATTCCCAGTGAGGTGTTTGGAGAATCCGAGGTCCACTAGGAGTGCAAGAGGTGTATGTGAAGACACTCACCTAGCTTGTACCACTGGCAGGTCAGCACAGTGTGTGACTCTGACTCCAACTATTTGCTGGAAGTTTCTCCGCGCTAGGTTGAGGATCTGTTGCTAGGAAATCTCTACACTGGGGTATGTTTGCACATGAGTGAGCTATTGCCAGGAGTTTTCAACGCTCAGGTTGATTGAGTGCATTTTCATCTACCGAGCGAATGCAGTGAGCATATTGCCTAGGGCCAAAAAAGATTGTTTGTAAGCCCTCGGACATATGGCAATTTCAAGTACAAAGGTCATGCCACTGTGCTCTTCGACTTTTATTAGGTCTCATTATGCATAAACACAAGCAGTTCAAAGGTCATGCCACTGTGCTTGCTCCCCATTATTACTCTGTGTGTGTGCAGTTAAGTAATGTTTGTTAGTTTCTGTATGTGCCCGAGTGAGCTGTTGCTAGGAGTTTCTCCGCACTTGGGGTGTGTGTGTGTTGAAGGGTGGACGTCATGGTATAGTGTGTACATTATGACCGTACATACCTACCAGCATTTTTTTAAGTCGATACTCTGTGATTTGCATTTTCTGCTATAGCAGTGTTATTCTCATGGATGACATACGTATAATATGTGCAAACAGATGCTATGGCGTTTCCTAAGTAGCTCGATATTGTTAATGATCTGGTGAGCGGTGGTTTGTTTTGTTATAGTGTTTCTGTTTTCACTGTTTCTTGCAACTCACTTCCCCCGTACTCATGCACACTGTACACTTCTAATAAATACTCACTCAGCCAGTAACCGCACATTGCCTTCTTTCGTTGTCATTTTTCCGCTCTAGGCAATTGTAATGGCGAGTGACTTCAATAGTAAGTTCCTATGCCTGTTCTACATGATAGATCGAAGGTGATTTTTTCATTATGTTGGCTATAGTCAATTGTAACTTACCTGTAAGTGACTTGAATGGTTCCCATGCACAGTTTATATAATATGATACAGTTTGAAGGCCTGTGACAATTTCTTTGCCTTTGATGTCACTCTGCAGGTTCCCTCATTTCTAGAGACGCTTCTACTGTACTGGTGGAGAGAAAAAATCATCGCAGCCGTTCCGAATATACTGGTGGTGTTCTATCATCATAATGAACCGGTGAGCATCGGTTTTTTTATGTTATTGCTATTGTTTCTACTCACCTTCACCGTGCTGATGCACACTGTATACTTCTAATAAGTGCTCACCCAGCCATTACCTTCTTTCGTGGTGATTTGGTAGCAGTAGGCAATTGTAACATACATACCTGTATGTGACTTGCATGCTCTACATGATAGATCTAAGGCCTGTGATAATTTATTCTATTCACAGTGTGATGTTTCATGTACACTAGCTGCAAATAATCGCTGTACTAGTGGTCTTCTTCATCATTGAAGAGTGGTTTTTTTAATTGCATTTCTATTCTCTGGTTCTATCAACTCACCTTCACCATGCTGATGCACACTTTTCACTCCTAATAAGTGCCCACCCGGCCATTAGCACACATTGATTACCTTCTTTCGTGGTGTTTTTTTTTCGTTATGTTGGCTGTAGGCAATTGTAACATACCTGTATGTAAGTGACCCCATGCAAAGTGTGTATGATACAGATCAAAGGCCTGTGGCAATTTCTGCACTTTACCTTTCTATTCACAGTTTGTTGATTTGATGACACTCTAGAAGCTTCTACTGTACTGGTGGAGAAAAAAATCATCGCAGCCGTTCCGAAAGTGTACTAGTGGTGTTCTATCACCATAATGATCCGGTGAGCGGTTGTTTGTTTTGTTATAGTAGCCTCCAACTAACCATGTGCCATAACAGTTATTTGGGGTTTACCCTGTGATGTAGGTTTTAGCCCCTACTGACCTTGCCCTGTTAGCTCATTGGGCAAAGCACTCGTGCCTAGACTTCTGAATGTCTCACCCAGGGCGGCTCTTTTCTTCGGAGTTGTCCTGGTGTTGTTTGCCTTCCTATGCTGGTAATGTTGTTGACACATATTCATGGCTACGCTAGCACATCCACACCATGTGTTCAAACCCAAAAAAAAGTCGGAATGGCTGATCTGATGAGTCCTCCCACTATAAAATATGAAAAGCACTAAACTGCAAACCCTCGGCGAACTGCGCATGCGCTGTACCTCGAATTGATGGGCTGGGCCTATTAGTCTGCATTTACCCGTGATCTCCCGCTAGTAGCTCGCGGAGAGTCTGACACGGGCTAGCTACAGTAGTAGATAGCATGCGAGAGTCGATACAGGCCCTTCGTTGTGACTTCTTGTGCCTCCGAGGTACACAGATAAAGCGGATCAGGGCTAGTGCTAGTGCTAATTAGCATATTGGCTTGTTCACTTGGTTTTCACGCCATAACTTCTGAACGCGGCACTTTTACGAAAATCGCCATTTTTTAAATCAAGCCAGTGTAGCGCTGAACCCGTTGGTGTCGCTATTTTACCTGTTTGTTGCGCGTGGTGGCAGAAAACGTGGTAACAGACGGACAGACAGACAGACAGACGGACAGACGGACAAACCAAGTACTATAACCCTCGCTTCGCATGCATGTTAATAAAGGACGACAACCGTCTCTGGGATGCATGGTTCCCCCTGTAGCTATAATTATTATCACAAACTTACCCTTCCCTTTCAACTGCAGGAGTGATGCCACCACCATGAGTATTGTCTTTGTCACCCTCTCTGAGACTGGTTAGGGTGAGCTGTAGCGGTTGACCCAGTTGTGCAATCTCTGAGAGGTGTTGACCTGGTCTTGTAATCTCTGGTCTTCCTAATCTACCACTAAAATCTCATTACCTTCAAATTGTTAGTGTAGATGGTGGGATGAGAAGGGCTGATGCACTCTGTACTCCAAATAAGTTCTCACCCACACAACATTACTGTTTTTGAACCTTACACTCACCCAATAGCCACAGATATTGCCTCAGCTCTAGTGGTCATTATTGAGGTGTGGGTGCAGGCAATTGTATATACTGTACTTGTTACCTTCTTGCACACAGATGCACAAAACACCCAGTTCTAATTAATGCATATTGAGCCGGTAGCGACAGATTTTCCCCTCTCTCTTGTTGTTAGATATTGTTTGTAAACTTCATGCATTGCTAATCACACTCTACATGTACTGTTTGGAGTATTGCATTTATGAATTTCTATTCACTGTGGAATTGTATATTCTATAATGCAGGTTCATCCATTACAAGAGAAGCTTTTTCTAGACTGGTGGGGGGAGACAACATCATTCGTTCCAAACTTAGTAGTGGTGTTCTACTATCAAGAGTGCCGTCATGATCTGCTGGTGAGCTGTGGTTGGTTGTCACTGACCTGTAAGTGGGCTAATAACATCCACTCTTCTGAATTCCAATTATCGGCTGTGTCCAACTTCCTGTGCTCTCCAATTATCACCAACATTCTATACCCACTTATAGGGCCAAATTGTTTGATTTAATATGTGTTATTCTTCGTATCTCCTCTTCTCTATTTTATAGGCTTTCTGAAGTGTCTTGCAAAGAAGGCTATGTCTACCTATTGTCTACATTCAGTTGTTTGGTGAGTGTCTTTGTCACTATGATTCCTGCCACATCTGGTATCACCACCACTGCGTGGACATTCCCAGCGAGCTAAGATAGTGTTACGCGGGGAGTGTTATAAAAAGAACGCACACAAAATTGCACACAAAATTGGTGATAAGCCACATCCCTGAGCTACCCCCTGCTCCACATCAAATGCCTCTGACCATTCCCCATCCAACAATGCAGCACTCTTTGAATACTCGTACATCTTCTTTATGACCCTCCACATCTTCCCTCTTACCCCAAATTCCCACAACTTTAACCACAGGCCGTTACGCCACACACTATCGTATGCCTTCTGCACATCTAGAAATAATGCATAATTATGTCTCCTTCCCCTCCTTTAGTCTACCCTGCACAAGTTCATTCAGCGTATAAATATTATCAACACAACCCCTTCCAACCCTAAAACCAGCCTGACCCTCATGCAATGCTTCACCAACCCATTGTTCAATACCTTACAAAAGACCTTCCCAACCACACTCAGCAGAGTGATGCCCCTATAATTCCCTGGATGCTCCTTACCTCCCTTCTTATACAGGTTAACTATGAGGTGGCACAAACTCCTCACCCCAAATTACTGTAAACAACTGTCCATCCCTGACCCACCATACTTTAGGAGCTCCCCCACAATCCCATCATTATATACCACCAGTCTTGTTATTCTTCAACTTCCTAACACACAATGCAATCTCCTCTAAATCTATTTCCCTATCCAATACATTTTCCACACAAACTCTAGGAAGGTTAGAAAACTCACACACTTTCTTATCCACTTCCTCCTTCCAACAAAAACTCAACAAGTAGTGTGATAATACTTTAGGTTATGCTGTACATGATGTTGAGTGGCCGTCCTCCGTTCTCTGGGCAATGTGGTGACAACTGTGGATGGGACAAGGGAGAGGAGTGCAGAAAATGTCAGGTAGGACACACACACACTGCCCCACCCCAAGTGTGTGATTACAACTTCATCAAAAGCTGTATAACACTACAAGTGCCCAACTGCTGATAATTTAACACCTCTAGCTTGCCTTTTTGTACTAGTCACTGACACCCCAGCACTATCCCTCAAAGCTGTAATTCCCTTCCTCTTACCCTTTGTTCTTCTACCAACAACTGCCCAAAATCCTTTCCTATTACCTTCAAAATCTGCATTTGCTCTTTCCACTACCCCATTCCAAACCTCAAGCTTCTTCTGAACAACTAAATTCTTCACCTCCCTATGCAGTTTACTATATTCCTTCCATAGATAATCCTGACCCTCAAGAATTTTCTTGTATCTCCGCTTGCTCTATCTTCTCATCCCACCACCTGACTGCCCTGCACTACCTTCTCTCCTATCTCAGCCTTTGCCACCTTTTTTACAACTTGCTCCCACTCCGCTCTCTGAAAATGTTCAACCTCCGCTTTCAAGCCCACAGTACAAAGGGTACAATGTACAGTATGGGAGACCCACAAAGGGTGAGACCTTTATACCATTAAATACAGATGTGGTTGGTAGTGTGTGTGTGTGAAAGTTTCCAAGCCATTCAGATAGTATGTGTGGGTCAGTAAGCCAATCAAAATATATCAGGGTTACTGTGGGCAAGTTGCTAGTTGCAGCCTGTGAGTGATGTGGGTGAAGAGTATATAGTAGATAACTAAAGCTGAGGGTGTGGGTCAGGACTAGGTGTCTGCTAAGCATAGAGCTGTGGGTTAGGACTAGTAGTAAGATTATTGTGCAGTATTGAGTGAGTGGGAGTGTGTGTGTGTGTGCGTGTGCGCGTGGGTGTGCACGCACACATAAAAATGGTGTGTGTGTGTGTGTGTGTGTGTGTGAGGCAAAACTGTTTTGGGATTTAGATGACATCTAGGGTGTTTAGGCAAACAGTTATGAGAAGACCAGGGTGTCTAGTCTTGTGATAATCACAGGTGTAAAACATGATGCTCTGTGTGTGTGTGTGTGTGTGTGTGTGTGAGGCAAAACTGTTTTGGGATTTAGATGACATCTAGGGTGTTTAGGCAAACAGTTATGAGAAGACCAGGGTGTCTAGTCTTGTGATAATCACAGGTGTAAAACATGATGCTCTGTGTGTGTGTGTGTGTGTGTGTGCCCGTGCGTGCACGCGCACAATAGGGTATGTAAGTATGTACACCTGTTTGTGCACATGGGACAGTCTCCTGGCACAGTCACTTGGAGATGGGCATGACACAGTTATATACAAGCATGTATAATACCTGTATACAGCTGTACCTCATGACATCTACCCTTTACATTTAGGTTCATCTGGATCAGTAGCCTTTTTTGACCTCACACATCTATTTACCTTTGTTGTCACTGGAATCCTCTGTAGTGGCTACATATAGGTAAAAACATCAATACTCCTCTAATCACGCATACACACCCATCCACCCCTCTACCCAAGCACACACACACACACACACTCACACTCACACTCACTCACAATAATCTTACTACTAGTCCTAACCCACAGCTCTGTGCTTAGCAGACACCTAGTCCTGACCCACACCCTCAGCTTTACTACTCTTCCCTACGTCACTCACAGGCTGCACCTAGCAACTTACCCACAGTAACCTGATATATTTTGATTGGAAGAAAACTTACCCATATCCTAACCCACACATACTATCTCAATGGCTTGGAAAAACTTTCACACACACATACACACACACACACCGCTCACACACACACACACACACACACACACACACAGCCAGATTTTTTAGCAAAATTTTATTTTGAGTGGTGTGTCGCACGTAATGGCTGCCCTCCACCGTGTGTGAACCAAGAAGGGAAAATGGCTCCTGTTGCATAGAATTACGGCCATACCATGGTAAGACTAATGACAACAAACACACACAGTAATGCTACTAGGCAACAATATATAAATCCTGCACTGGATATAGCATATCCCGCAGTGGATATATAAATCCTGCACTGGTAATAGCATATCCCGCTCCGGATATATAAATCCTGCACTAGATATAAATCCCGCACTGGATATAAATCCTGCACTGAATATATATCCAGTGCAGGATTTATATATCCGGAGCGGGATATACTATATCCAGTGCAGGATTTATATATCCACTGCGGGATATGCTATATCCAGTCCGGGGTATGTATAATCCAGAAGGGAT